CATTTCATGCGTTTTCGCTGATCGGATATCTATCTGATTTGTTAAAACGTTTCCATTTACACTTGGCCACATAAATGTGTCGTCGCAAAACGGATTTAAATCCGATCTTCAATTCCCGCGCTATATTTAAATTTAATGGAGTTCACGTCAACGAAATCAAAAGATAAGCACTGCATTTTATTATTTATCAGCTCATTTAAAGATCAAAGACCACAATAGGAGAGCGCGCAGCATCAGCACTGGAAAGACAAGTTTGTCTTACTACTTTAACGAAGATGATTGTGTGTTGACCGTCTGCATCTTACTTTGTTTCATTCACGGCAGTTTGCACGTCGGCTTGCTGAAGAGATACTAAGCTACTCGTCTGCGGTGATGCATGTTGCATTAGCGCAGTCATATCTGACTATAATGTCATATAGCCTACGCCTATAACACACTCTCACACGTTTATTATTTTAACATTTTGGGAGGAGTAAAATTTACATATGTGGTTTCAACAACCAGATGCATTTACACTGGTCCAGTTTTGTCTGGAATGCGGCCCAGACCACCTCCTGAAGTGGTTTGAGCGATCGGATTTATATCCGTCTCGAATGCGTTTCGGAGGGCATTTACACCTGGTCTTTTCACGATCGGATAGCTATCCGATCAGACAAAACGCATGAAGTGACCAGGTGTAAACAGCCCCTTTGATTTTTTTTAAATAAAAGAATCCTGAAAAAAAAAAGTTTAATGATGTCCACAAAAATATTAAGCAGCACAGCTGTTTTCAACATAATAAATCAAATCAGCATATTAGAATGACTTTTGAAAGATTGTGATACTGAAGTTTTGAATAATGGCTGTTGAAAATTCTGCTTTGCCATCACCGAAATAAATTACATTTTAAAATATATTAAAACAGAAAGCAGTTATTTTAAATGGTAAAATGTTTCACAATATTTCTATTTTAACTTACATTTTTATTAAATAAATGAAGCCTTATTGAGCATAGGGGACTTGAAGAGCGAAGAACGATTGGGGAAAATGTTAGCCAATCAGTTCATTAGCATGTTAGCAAGTCTTAAAGATACAGTAGCATGAACTTCCAATTTAATTCTTGCTCTCAGAGATAGGGCTGCACGATAAATCGAAATGGAATCGAGATCGTGATTCGACAGAAGCTGCGATTGTCATGCGTATCTTTCAGTGAAGCACGGTTCTGTGATCAGCAGTAAATCTCCATCCGAAGGCTAGAGGGCACTCTCGCTCTGAAACTCCAAATATGCCCCGAAGAAGTAATCCAGGAAATGCCTATCGCTGCAGCTGAATAAACAGAAGATTCAACTGCTTTCATTGATTCAACGTGACTAATAAACACACGACTACGGCAATATAC